ATATATATATATATATATATATATATATATATATATATTAACTATTTTATGATATGATGAATTGTAATAGACGAATGAAATAGAAGAGTTCAAAGAATCCTAATAACAAAACATAATACATGTCAATGAAAAAGGAAACATCTAAACCTTTTTGCAAATTTTGTAATCATTAATGACTATGCTTAGTTATCACTATCCTACAATGAAAGGGACAATAATCTAGGCTAAGTGTTGCCTACTACATAGATTGTTCTAAACGATTCATGAAAAGAACTCGTAGTGCTACGCTGAAATAATGATTTTTCATTCTAACTATTGTCTAATAAATGATGTTCTAAGCAAATCATGAAAAGAACTTGTAGTGCTCAGCTGAAATAATGATTTTTCTTAATGAACCAATTGGAGCTAGTATCACCAACAGAACCCCAAGCACGATGCATGTCTGCAACATAATAAGAAAAGTTTGTATCAATATAAATTACTAAGCACAAGAAGAATATCTAATAAGAAATTTTCACACTAATCTCAGTTCACATACCCAATTCACTATCCAAGATAAGGAAAATCTCTTTGGTTTGTAGAGTTTAAGCCATATGATACACGGTAGCTGTAACAAGAATATATATAATCAATAAATGATCTATATAATTTCCTTGTTAATTAAATAAAAAAGAAATAAGAAAAACAGCAAAGAACATCTAATCGCATGCTTTTACTTACAAAGTAAGTTGTTGGGGCAAAGGCAAACCCTCCTAAAAATCCAAGAAGAGAACCAAAGAAGGGGATGCATATACCAATTAACATTGTCAATACTGAAATAGAAAAGGATAGTTATAAAACATCTATGTATTTATTTATTTATTTATTTATAATCATAATAACTCGAACTAAAGATAAAGCTCATAAATATATCACTTACACACAAAGACAGTGCGCGCAACAAAGCGGAGTGTAAAACGAGGACGGAATTTCATTCGCTTCACCAAAAAGGTTTCCATCATATCAAACACGGGCATTGAGAATACCTATTGTTTGCAAATTATAACATTATGGCTTTTTGAATATTTGACATATTATCAATTTAGTTTCTGAAAGAATGATATAACATGGACAATAACATGGACCATAACAAACATGTTAGCTGTTGCAACAAGCCAAGAAGGTTATGTACCTGGTAGCCTCCAATAACATGGACAATAACAAACATGTTAGCTGCTGCAATAAGCCAAGAAGGTTTCTCTAGTGTGATGAGGATATTATCATCGACAGAGTTTCCAAAGATATAGTATCCAATGAAGGCGACAGGAAAGTAGCAGAAGCCAACTCCCAAGTATGCAACTATGACTCCTTTCCACATAGCTATCTTGGAAGGTTTCTCAGGTGTAGAAGGTATTGTTGCTTGGATTTCCAAAACCACATTGTGACCTGCATAAGCGAATGCTACGTCTCCCATAGCAGTCATGAAGTTGAACACGCCATCCGCAGTGCTGTGTGCTTTGTACCCATAGTCCACATTCGGCACGGTGCCCTTCTTAAGGGAAGCCACCCAAGCAATGGTTGAGTAACTTCATGCATGCATTATATAAAAATTAGCAAAAAACACAAACAATATTTATATATTTTACAGTTTGAGAGACTGAGTTTCATACGCGAGAGACATGACTGCTGCGGCCAAAGACACTGCAGAAATAGAGTTGAAGTTTGGACAGAGAGAGAGAACGAAGTTCACAGAAGCAAAGACCATGATCCAATAGGAGCTTCTGATTTCTTGGCATGAGGGGCAAACAGTTTCATGAAACTTCTTCAGTGAGTTCCCTCCCGTGACCATGTACACAATGCACGTGCCAACCTCGACAAGTAGCTGCAGAGGAACCACGATGTAGAGACCCAGTTTCTCTCCAAAAGCTTTCTGCCCTAGTTCGTGATACCTGTCTAATCTCTCACCAGGCACCATTTCGTGCATCTCAACCATTTGCCATAGGGTGAACAAGGTGATGATCCATGATAGGATGAGAATAACACTCCCTGGACCCCTGTTGATAAGAAGAAATGACGTAAAATTAATTATATCGTTGATGAGAAAGTAGTAAAGTTGAAGAGGATGTACGTACCAGCCCATCATAGACATGGCATAAGGGAGGGTGAGGACACCGGCACCCACCATGGCGGTGAGGTTGTGGAAGGCAGAGTACCACCATTTGGCATTTCGTGAAGCAGTGACCGGAAGCCAAGCATTGATGGCATTGGTATCAGCAGTATCGATCGTCATTTTTTTGTTCACTTCCACCGTCAGTCTGTGACCAACATGAACTCATTTTAACCCACAGTTTCCACAAATCCCGCAAACCACACTTACGTTAGTGGCAGAGACAGTATCTAAACATGTGGCATGGATACTAGATCAACTTCTTCTACCTACTTTATCGTCCAATGTAGGACTCACTCAAACATCCCAACTCAGTTTTCGATTTTCACACTATTTTTCCTCTCTATTTTCCTTCTCTTATCTTTTCAATTTTACATTTTTTCTTCTTTTATCCTACTTACACTATTATTTTACATTCATATTACATATAAATAGCTTCAAATTTAAAAATATAACTTCATTTTTAAAATATTAATTATAAAGATATATAATATATAAATGGATGATATAAACAGTTTTTAAAAGTTTACTTAATTATTCAAAATAAGAAAACTGTAAACATTAAATGATATCTAGTATATATTATCTAAAACTTCAAATTTAGGGATTTATTGGAAAGACATTATATTTTAGGGTAAATGTTTAACAATCCATTTTTTCAAATTACAACTATAAAATATTATATTAAAGTAATAATTATAAATAAATGATGTATTATAGTAAAATAATATTTTATGTACGTGTGACTGATTGTTGAAAAAACATGGGTCTGGAATGATCTTGACCTTAGATTTTATTATTCATTTGTGTTACAATGAAAAAAGTTATTTCTACTACACTGACATTATATTTTTATAAGAAAAAGTCCTAGACCGAACAAGTCAAATTTAAATAACTAAATTTGTTTAGAATATGGTATAAATTTACATACTTTTGATTAAATTTTTTATTAAAAATATTTATATATTTAAAATACTTTTTTTTATTTTTATTTAAATATTCTATCATTTATTTTTGTGATCACCGAGATAATATAAATTTAAATATATATAGTCTTTTACTTTTTGAAACAGAAAAATAAATGAAATATTCACTTTTTGATAAGTAAATTCTGATACCATTTTCTTTTTCGTATAAAAATGTCCATAGAAATATTTTTAAATTATTATTTTAATTAAAAATACATTAAAGTTATAATTGTTATTAACATAATTTTAAAATAATAGTTATTTAATTTTTAAATCTTTCTCATTTTCTATAACTTAGTGCAAATTTTCTGAAGGCTTTAAAAGTTTCATTTTTTATGCAAGAAAGAATGTCTAAGAATATCTAGAAAAGTCATCAACTAAGACTAATGCATAGGAATTTTCATCTATACTTAATTTTATAAAGGTGAAATAAATCCATGTGAATTAATTCAAAAGGTTTATATAAAATACTTTTAAATTTGAAAGAATGTTAATTTCTTTTCCTTTTTGATGTGCAACACAAATTTTGTTAATTTGAAAATTGAGCAACCAATTATAAGATTTTTTAGATAACATTTTTAAGATGAGACATATGAGTACGAGCTGCTCTTCTATGCCATAAACACGTACATTCATGATTTACAATCAAACATGATATATTGGGAAAAAGCATGATTTAAATCTACCAGGTAGATGTTATGAGATCTCTTTCCAATCCAAACAATTTTGTCAGAACAATTTTAACTTGTTTTCATAAAGCTGTTCCTTTCCAATTAGTTGCAAAAATAAATAACATCTAATATAAAAGGATTTGGTTAAGTCTAGTTTACTTTTATGAATCAAATTAAAAAAGTTGCCAATTTTAAAGTCAATTATAATCCTAACGAACATAAATTACCTAACATATATTTACATAAACTTTGACTATAACTATCCATTCCTCATTTTTATTATTGTTGAAGTCTTAAAGTAAAAATAATTTTTTATATTAATTATAAGTTTCGAGTAAACAGACTTTATTTTTTTACGTTTCCGTATGTAAATTAAATTTGTATTATTTAATTTAAGTAAAAGATTTAAGTCAAAAAGGCTACGCAAAAGGAAAGCCTATTTTACGAGGGAAGGGGACTTTAGATTGTATTTAAGAATGTTTGGCCAACGAGGAAAAGGTTAGACAGAGTGAAAAATAAGATTTTTGCAGCCTTTTCCATTTGTGTGGAGAGAAGAAGGAGACAGGATTTTGTCTCAAATTCATTCAAAATGTCATGTCAAAGAGGGGGTAAAAATTAAGGAAAATGACACTTGAACAACCATTTTTGACAACATTTAGACACGCACACACGTGTCAAAATCTGAGTGGTCCATTTTCATTTAATTTTTCCAACTGGACCACTCAGATTTTGACACGTGTGCGCGTGTCTAAATGTTGTCAAAAATGGTTGTTCAAGTATCATTTTCCAAAAATTAAAAAGGCTTCTTTTGTCCAACATTACACTTTAGGTCGAAAATTTTACTCAACAATGGGTTTGGCTCAATTGTTTTCGGCTATTTCTTCATGCAAATTTCATAATTTCAACTCACATTTTCATAAATTTCTGGATTTCAAATATATAATTCGAAATATTTTTCTTATATTTTAGATTATGTATTTTAAATATACCGTATAAAATATAAAATATATTTTCAGATTATATAATTTAAAATATAAAATTTATATTTTAAATTATGCATTTTGAAATGCAAAAGTTGTATTTGGATTTTATATTGTGGAAAAGAAGTAAAAAATACGTTCTTAAATATAAACTTTACATTAATTATCTAGTTTATTTCTCTTGATTGCACTCTGGGCCAAAAATTATACGGAACAGATGGTTTTGAGTCATTAGTTTTTTACAAGGAGCAGGGATTTTCCCCTGCATCCCATGTTTTCTTCCTGCATTTTATACCTTTTAAAATTCTAATTATACTCTTCCTGAAATTAAAAGAGAAGGATAGCGAAAGATTTTGTGTGTTTTAATTATAGTTTTGGATTGTAGATATTTTAGATAGTATAATTTGAAATTTAAAAGTATTAATTTTATATATTTCTGATTGTACAATCAAAATGTAGATTTGCATCTTGTATTGTACCATTTTCAATGCAAATTTATATCTGAATTGTATAATCCGTAATGTAAATAGACATTTTAGATTGCATAATTAGTAATAAAAATTTGAAAGACAATTCAAAATGCAAAATTTACAGTGCAAATTTAAATTTCAAATTGCACAATTAGTAATACAAATTCACGTATGAATTGTACCATTCGTAATATAAATTTAAAAGACATATTAAAAAGGAAATTATATCTTTAAATTGTACAATATATAATACAGATTAATATTTTGGATTGTATAATCCATAATACAAATTTAAAAACAATCTGAAATATAAATTACAATCTGAATTTCACAGTTCATAATGTAAATTTATATTTTGAATTTTAAAATCCCTAATGCAAATTTGAAAAGTAATATAGAATATAATTTTAAATCTGATATGAAACTTTACATTACTCGTTATGCAATAAGATGAACACAATGAAGTTCAAGGGGTGGGGCTTCTGACACATGATGGAGCCAGTGGAGGTGCACAGGGGCGAGGGAAATTTGAAATAAATTAGGATTTTAAATTAGCTTTTAATAAGCCTTAACTAAGTGATTTTACACCAAGACTATGGGGTGCAGAAAGAAATCATCCCTATAAGTGCTACAAACACCCAAATTAGGTCCATGAGCTTGTGAGGTAAATTTTACAAATAACTTCTAATTAGGCCCACTTTAGGTGATTAACAACAATTGATTAAAACTATTTTTAATTCTTTTATTTGTAATAGAAATGTTTAAATCACTCATTGAAGTATTCAATTTATCACCCTGCAAATTTAAATCTAATACTTTTTATAAAAGAATCAATTACTTTCATACTTAACAGTAAATAAAATAATTCTATATAGGGTATCACAAAATGAAGTTCATAAAACTTTAGAATTTGAAAGATTTTCATCAAAATATAGGGTATTACATTGTCCTATATTTTTATTTGTTAAACATGCACTGATTTCTTTGTAACGACAATGAGTACGTAGTAGCACGCCAGAATACCTTGCGAAAGTTCAACAATTTTCTTTTTTTCTTGATAACTTTTTGGTGGAAAAACTGACATGCAATCTATGGGTAAAAGGTAGTAGTTAAAAGCCTAATCAATCATAGCCAGTCAATTCAGAATCATTCCTACAAAAAGGACAAGCGTGTTGAGTTTCAAAGTATAGTTGAAGACTAAGCATATAATTTTCGGTATTACTAATTTTAATTGTTGCATATTCCACATGAAGTTTTCATAGTGATCATCACAGTTTGTTTCAAAGCTCCTATTTACCATTTATGCAACTAAAGAACTAAAATTCTTAGAGCTGCGATTTGACTTTGTGCAGCTATTTGCATCTTCCAAAGCCTGGCCATGTGCTCCAAAAGAAAAATAGCGGTTCATCAATTTCTTATTGAAAGAGCCACGCTTATAGTTCAACTGTAGGCTGCCACCACCATCCATTGATCCATTGGAGCAAGAGGGTCTCATTATATCAACACCATTTTGCTTGTTATTAGAAGCATGAGAAGAGATAGATAGTTCTTGAAAAAGACCAGAAGTTGAATGAACAGGTAGAGGGCCTTGTGGCTTTACTTTAATCACACCTTGCATTAGGCCTGCATGAAAATATTTTCTCTCTGAAGCACTTGGAAGATAAGTCCTTATAGATAGTGTTCTTTTGTTGTTTGGAAGAGAACACATTTTTGAGTATCTTTGCCTCAATGGGATGGGAAGTTCCTCCAAGTTTTTCCTTGAACTAAAAGAATTCTCAGAAACATCATCTTCCAACTCCGAGGCTGCTTCTTTCGTCTCTCTTATCCCATGCCACTGCAGCAGAAACTTTAAACGCCTTGCACCATAATTAACAGAACTATTGTTGCTGTTGCATGGGGAATTGGGTGACTCATAATTGTTTATTTCACTTGACCATGAATTTGATTCCACACTTGCCTCATCATAATTGGTATCACATGAATTCTCAATGCCTGTGTACAACAGTATCTCAGAATCTGGTATTCTAAATGATGT